AGAGGATATTTGCACTTCCTCTGTGGCTCCTGGCTCTTTTTGACATGCGGCAGAAGGAGCAGGCATCACCCACCAGTGCAGGGCCAATTGAGGTGCAGATTGACCAGAGGGACAGTGAAGAAGGGAAGCCAGCAGGGCAGTGCTCCTGTCAAATCCAGTGATGGACACCCACGTGGGGGCTGGAAGTTGGCCTGCGGTTTCTGAGGTCCTATAGCAATTGATGGGACATGACGAGGCAGGCGCCCTGGTTTCATTCTTTTGTCCCCAGGGATGTTGGAGGGTGTATCAGAATGTCAGAGGCTCTTGGCTACAGCACACTTCTGGTGTCAACTGCCTACGATATACAACTGCCCCTTGCCTGCTCACTCATACACCAACAAGATATTCAAAAGGTTATGATGTACAAGGATAGTGTGTGTATACATGAATGTATAGAACCTATATGTTGCGAACAGAGATTGCATTAATCTAAGAGCGACAACAATCAGAACACAAATGCATAAACGATTACGACGATAAACAATTTTGAAGCAGTGGAAAGTGAGGCGGACGATTAACGGTAAAAGCATAGCTCTCTAGACACATATGGAAAAACAGCTCTCAGAGACACATCAAATAGAACCAATTCAGCTTTAACACATAAACACCTCAGCTGTCAATCCATATCTCCCCACATGTAACTTATATGCATGGTGCTGCATACGCAGCCTCTCTGAGCTGTGTTGGAATGCTGACAGCACAGAGATATGAATCTTGATTTGATTAAGAGTCAGAGTTGAGGGTCTAAGTGCTGGAACCAATATCAATTCGGGCGGGTGGGCAGTGAGACTGTTGCGAAGGAGGTGAGGTGGAGGGGAAGGGGCAGAGTGTGATGGTGGGGGGGGGGGTTACCTGTGGCCCTGGCTCCAACTGGGAGTAATTTGGAACAGACTGCTCCCAATGTGTTCATTAGGTTGTGATTGGGCTGTGCGCAGGTGGGGAGGGCCTGCCCTGCCTGAATAGTCCTGATTGTGCCCAGCATAAAACGCCATCTGTTTCAATGAGGGAGAGAGAGAGAGTGGCAGGAGGAAGGAGGAGGGAGCTACCGGTGAGAAGTCATGTTTTATGATGTCTGGACAATTTTGCGTACTCGCAAGGGGACAGAAATTAAAAGAGAAGAAAAAGTAATGTACAGCGATATTTTCAGCTCCCTTGCTTGTCTTAAATTCACAATGAGTAGAATAAAAAAAACATGGCAATTCCTTTCCATGCAAAAAACATTTAAGGCCATAAAGTAAATTAAAGACCGGGTGTGAAAATTACTGCCATATAACCAAACGTTGTATAAAAACGCAAATAGGCTAAATGCGATTTCTTTTAGACAAGAGGTAAAATGGCGTTCATTTCTAGTTTAAATGTCAGGTTTCAGTCTAACTGTGGCCTGCCACTGTGAGCAGACGGCTGAAGAGACAAGGGGATTGGAGATGGGGCAGCAGAGTTTATTTATGGACCGCCTGCTTCAAAGCTGGGATGTTTTTGGTTAATCCTGTACTCATACCAAAAGCAGACATACAAATGTTAATCTAGGTGTTTACACTCATATTTACACTGTCTGCTGAGCTGTAGACACAACATTAGCCAAAATCATATTCATAGGTCTCATGCGGGTAAAAACACAGAAGACAAAAATATCTTTTTACTCAGTCAGCCTCTCTTTCTGTCTTATTTTTTTTCTCTGTGCCTCCTTTTTTGTTAGGACAGTAAGATGAGGAGAGTACGAGTGCAAAGTCTCACCTGTGTTAGCCAGACGTTGGTGGTCATCACCTGTTCTCTTTCGTGCTGCAGAAAAAGAAGACATATACATTACAAACTATGATTAAAAGATTCAGGAGCACTTCCAACAAGTAGAAGTACAGTCTAGTCCTGCTCTATTTGAAAAGTGTCCTGAGATAACTTCTGTTATAAATAAAATAAAATAAAATTGAAGAAGAGAGTTGAAGGATGTGTGTGACAGATTTGTTTTTAATGACATAAAAAGAGTCACACTACAAAAACACTGGATCCTTTGCTTTATGCACTTTGATAGCATCTTTCATTAAAGCCTCCCTGCTTGGGAAATGCTCATGTTTAAACTCCACGACCCCCAGTTTGTAAAAGTCTTCAAGCTCATGTAAAGATAACCATAATGACATCAGAAGGGTCTGAACTCCAGAACCCCCTTTAACTTACACAAATGTTTCAGTGATTTTACCCTTATTCTTGAGTTTATTTGCAGCAACACTAAGCACATTTGAATACAATTCAGAATTACTTGTATTATGATACTCTACACATTTACTTTTTAATCTTTATTTGATAGTTAGCAGTTACTTTGCAGATGAAGATTTAAAAAAATGTATAATGAGCGTACTGTATAAATACATTGTTATATGTTTAAATGAACAGCACTAACTAACAGTATATATAATAAAATTTGTACAATTAGCTCTACCGCAGCCAACTACAACATTAAGATGCAGCATGTTACTGCATTTATAATAATAATCCAATAGTACAATATAACAACACTAACAGAGACAATTGTGGCGGCATAGTGAGTACTTTAACTTATACATTAAGTACATTTTCCAATGATACTTATGACTTTTACTTGTAACAGAGTACTTTTAAATTGCGGCATTGCTACTTTTACTTAAGTACAAGATCTTAATACTTCTCCCAGCACTGCCTGTCTGTCTTAAATTCCTCAAAATGCTCTGAATATATTTTTATGAAAAGTGATAAACCAATCAGGCCTTGGGCCAAGGACCAAATGATTACGAGATTGACTTGAGATTTCCTGGGATTTTCAATTTCAGCCTTAACCATGAGCTCTGAATACAAATGATTTTTGCAGACTCAAGAAATGATTTGAAAATGTCAAGTCTCTCCAGCATTAGTCAGCATTAGTGCAGCTTTTGCACCATACATAAACACACACTAAATAATATCATATTGGGTTTTTCCTCATGCTGTGAAAGGTACACACACAGATTCAAACACACAAGGCCACAGACGTGCACACTTACCACACTGATGAGTTGTGCCAATGACACCATCAGCTGCACAGTAACCAGCTCGGAGCCATTAGTCGCAGGACGGATCAGTTTGTTGTAGTGGGCTGGGTTTAGGAGATGCTCCACCAACCGCTCCTCTGTGTCTGCCCCGAGGCCCACTGTAATGAGAACACATTATCATCATCATCTGCCTCTCTCATGAGACAAAACATGTTGGAGCCATCTGTGTCTCTCTTGGTATTTTTTAGAAAGACTTTTATCATATCGGATATAATCGTACAAGAGCAGGAAATCGGTGGTGCTGTAGAGTTGCCCCGCTCGACCACTGCCCTCACTGCTAGGATTTGAGAGCTGGCTATCCATGCGTACTAAGAATGCAAAACCTTTGAACCATGGCATTACTCATAACTGCCGGCTGGAGCACGTCAGCACAGCTCGATATATACATCTCACAAGATCTGACATAATAAGAATGAGTCAACCAGTCTGAATGCCTCTATCGCTATCCGTTCTGTCTCCACCACTCTCTTTGTGATGCTGTACTGTCTCTATCTATTCTTCTCCGCTGTGTTGCACCTCTCCTCAACTGCCAGTCTTTTGTAGCTTTGGATTTTTTTCACTCCATCTCTCACTTGGTCTCCCCTGTCTCCTCCCTCCCTCCTGTCTGTCATCCCTCCATCTGTAGCCATATCTGTGTGAGCGGTTGGGTTTGGGCAGAGCTGTCACAACACCACACGCAGGAGGGGAGGCGTTTTACTGAAAGACACGATGCATAGAGAAAAACAACTGTTCTGCACCTCCTTCTTCCTTCCTCTCTCTCCTGCTATTCACTCCCTGCCTCCCTGGCATCTGCTTGCTCCTGTGCTGCATCTTTTCTCTCTCACAATTCCCTCACACATTCCCCCTGAAGATAAACACAGGTTGCTCCCTGTTAACTTGGTAGCTGTGTTGTCATACTTAAACCTGCCATTTTAGAAGCTATTAACGGTGTGGGAAAACAAATATGTCAAAGCTGATGTGGTGGAAATTAACACACGGTTATGTTTGATTTTTATTTTTTCAAGATTTTAGGTTAAATCCCTTGAAGTGAACCCTTTCATTTTCACAAGGGTCCTTATACACAATGACTGATGATAATATAAATGGAGAACAATCAAAATAATATATGATAAAATATCCAAACAAATTCCAGGCTACTCCTTCTTTATTACCCAATTTTACCCAATTTTATTCTGCACAAAACCAACAGGAACCGAATGAACAATTGCTAGACTAAAAACAATTTAGGCAATTGACAGAAAATCACATCACTTATTAAGCAAAAATGCCAAATCAATCAAACTACTTTATGCTTCTCAAACGTTCGGATCCGCTTTGTAAAGTGAATATATTGGAGGGCAAAACAAGCAATTGGAAGACTTCATCTTAGGCTGTGGGTAATGGTGATGAGCATTTCATAGACCAAATGATTGATCAATTAATAAAATTCTAATCAGATTAATCAATAATGAAAATAATCGTTAGTTGCAGCCCTATCAATTGTATTGAGACGTCTAACATACAAAAAGAGAAGGATAGCTAAGGAGAAATACAATCAAAAAGACAAACAGATATGAAAATGTTATTATATGAAAATGTTGGGCTTTGTTGCTTTAGGGATGTAAAAATATGGAATTTGGAATAAAGAAAAACCTAGAAACGAACTAAATATATTCAACTGATTCCCTGAACCTCTGCTTGTCTCTGAGCTCCTCTCTGATTCTCTCTCCCCCTCTATCCCCCCCTCCCTCGCCCTGTAGCTTCTGTGCTCACTGAACAGGAATGATAGCCTCTGTCTCTGGATCAATGAGGACTCTATTCATGCCCCGTAAAAACTAAACACGCAATTCTTCGCCTCCCCACCTTTTTTTAATCTCCTGCTCTTTCCTCTTCCATCTCATTTTCTTTTTACACTTTCTCCCTCTCTCTCTCCATCACCCGAGCAGGTCCATATTTTCTTCTCACTCCCCTGACTGGCCATCGCTTTCTCCTTCCTGTTATCTCCATCTTCCCGTCGCTGACAGCCACCGTCCATTTATTGCCCCTTCCGTCGCTAATCCAACATCATCAATACACATCCTGTCAGCACATGCATGTAGCATTCTGGTTGTTTATTGTGCACAAGCGCTGGTTTGCTTTTTACGTGTGTATGGATGTGTGTTTCTTTTTGTGTGCCCATATTCATGAGGGAAATAAGCATTACTGTATGTGTCTGAACCATATGAGTAATGTATATTGTTCCCAGAAGCACAAGGCAATAACACTGTCGAATGAGACAGAAAGCTAATACAGTTCACTTAAACAATGATAAAGCAGAGAAGGTCTACATTTCCTTCAGCTCATAATGTAAATGGTATTTTCATTTTCAAACCAGATTAAGCTCTTGCTAAATTGTCAAACTGACATTCAGTTTGTCTTCTTTGTAAGCACAGTTTGCAAGTTAAATTGTATTTTCTTCATATTTGTATTCATATTTGTATGTGCACTCAAATCTATGAAAATTGTAAATTGAATTGAAAATTGAATTGTAACATAGGCTGTGTTTTAAATATTTTCTCATCAACTACTGTACTTACGAGAATAAAAAAAAGTAGGTATCCCACTAGATGTTGATGCAAATCTGAATGGAGATGCAGATTAAAAATCCTAAACATTTTCAGAAGACTGTGCAGTCTTGGCTTACATATCCACTCTGAGTCTTTGTATTTCCTGCTTATTTTTATTTTTAGTAAAATATTTGCATGCATGGGCACAGGATGAAAGTCTAGACTAATATTTTACGGCACTGAGACAAATTAGAGATGCAAACTGAGAGCTTTGGTCTATTCTGGTTTTTCTTATCTCAGGACTGCAAAGAAATACCCACACACTCCAGCCTGATCACTGCACAAACATGTTAACCCAGCTGCTCATTTTCAACACTTTACTAATGCTTCTAAACGAAGTCTGATCTCTCTCTTTCTCTGTCTCCACATACAACGCTCTGTCATGCTAAAGGCCGTGCTGAGTGGTTGTAATGTTGCCGGTAGCTCAGGTTGTATTCGGGTTGTTTTCCAGTGCAAATATTGAAAACTTAATGTGACACTATGAATATTTCAGCAGGGCTCCCCATTAGACTGGGGAAGTTACACACCATCATGCATGTGAAAACACACACACACACACCTCTGTGGCATAGAACAGGAATAGACGAGATGGTAGCTATGTTCAGTGTCCGACTGCTTCACAACTATATCTGTTCCTTATATATTGATTAAGTATATATTGATGAAGGGGTGTAGGTCTTACTCATAATTTCCCTGTATACACTAACTTGTTTGATCATATAAAATCATCAACCGTTACATTTTACAGCATGTGTTGTTTGCGCTTTAGCTACTAAGAGGCCAGTCCACACACGAAAGACAAATGTGGAGAAAATGAGGGCGACGCGAGAGCTAAATTGAATTATCCCACTAAGACTATTACAGTGATCATCTCTATTTATACAGCTCACTCAAATGAGAAAAGGTTGGAGGGAAAGTAGGGTCGCTTTCTGCCCTGCTCTCCTCTGCTCTCTGCGCTTTGCCAAAGAAGCTTTTTGGCTGCAGCTGGGACCTTTTATGCTGAAATATTCTCAAATCAATAATGGAGAGATCCATTGATCGACTGGCAACACCCAATTGTCTCTGTAGTGCCCATAGAACTGAGATATTAATATTGATCGTCCATCCAGTCGCAATATCACAGCACTTCAAAAACAAAGCCATCCCACTGTGGATTCACGGGCGGAAGCTTTATTGTCGCCAGAATTCAACAAACTCCACAGTCATGAAAAGGGTGGCCAGTATAGTTTTGTAGAGATTAAATACAAAGATAGAAAAAGATACACACAAATGAACAGGATATACTAGTAACAAATACACAAAGACATTGATTTACAGTAATAAACAAGATTAAATGTTAGAAAGATCGAAACACTGACATAAATAAAAAGACAGTATAGTAAGATGTGAGTTAAGAGAAGCATTTGTAAATTCCATCAGCATGACTTTCTATAGGCTCAAGCCTGATGGCACAAACACAAATATCACTTTTTAGACAAGTTAATCGATTAATCCATTGAAAGGAAAGAAATGCCACTCGCTCTAGATAAAAACGGTTCATTTTAAGGTAACGAAAACACAACAATTCTTATTTTCAGGTGATGATATACTAATGAAAACATACCTACATTCATTTCTATTTCTGCCAATAGAGCCTCTTAATCTCAACATAAAACATCGAACATTCACTGGTTCCAGCTTTTCAAATACAAAGATTTGCTGCTTCTGTCTGTTTTACATGATTGTAAACTAAACATCTTTGGGTTTTAGACTGTTGGCCAGACAAAACAAGATCTTTGTAGATCAATTAATCAATTCACTGAGAGATGAATCTGCTGACTGATCAATAATGAAAAAAATTGTTAGTTACAGTCCCGATAAATGTCCAGACATGCAGAGACAATGATAAAATATTAACCGATCAACTGCAGGAAGAGTTTTAACATATCTTTGTAGTGATAATGCATCTATAGCTACAAAATGGGCTTTAACCTCCAAACCTCCACAGACACTGTAGGGCCAAGCATTGTTCCAAGCATAGAAATGAAAAATACTATTTTACATCTATAGCTTGAACCTACGGGGCCCTTTTTCTAATTCTAGTCAATATCTCAACGTTTGCAATGACGCTAAAGTTTGTGTTGTAGTGCAGTTAAACAGGTCATCTTGGGTTTGAATATTTTTTAATATCTAAGGTGTATTCAAACAATGTTTCCCCTAATTTTGAAATCACATCTGAGGGAAATTTAAGAACATGTTGATTAAATGTTACTGGTTAAATAGATACATCGTCAGAGGCTATGATTTAAAATGCCCAGAAATCCTTATATTGGGGATATAAAGTGTGGTTTTTTGTATTATTTACAGCCCAAGGAGCTCAGCTGCTGGATGAAAGACGGTATGGCTTTCTAACTATAGTGGTGCATATTTCAGGCATTGCAATAAAATACATCATTTGAACTGCATAATGCCTCTCATAACAGCTATTATTTGAGCTATTATTTGGATACCCATAAATCCTGAGGCTGTGTTAT